GTGCCTCTGCCCGCCCCCAACTGGCCTCCTTTATTGTCCCTGCTCGCCCCAGCCTCGTGGCGTGGGGAGGCGCTCCACTCACGTTTCCCCTTTGCCTGGGCCCCTGCCCCACATCCACGCCTCCCCACCCCCAGGCTCCACACCCTCCGAGTCTTGAGTCTTCGCTGCCTCCCCCGTGCTGGGGTGCCACGTGTTCAGGCAGCTCAGCCTTCCAGCCCTGGCCAAATGTACCTCACAGCCGGGTGGTCAGCCTGACCCAGAGCCCCTGCCCCAAGGAGGGGTGGGAATGTTTTCACGTGGGGCCCGGTGCTGTGAGATGTCCGGGAGCTTGTAGGTATGGCTGTGTAAGTGCAGGATCAGCGGCTTTGTTTTTGAGTGTGTAAGCCTTGTGTGTTCCTATCATCTGGGTGTGTCTGTATGTGGTTGTGTGTGCATCTGAGTGCAGGGGCCTATAGCTGGGACCAAGGGGTATGGTGGTATGATACTAGGTGTCCGTGAGTGAGACTCACGCTGCAACCTCAAGTACCGCCAGAAGTAGCCACAGAAGTGTTGCTGCTCTGTTGGAACCGCAGCTGGAGCTGTGGCCCAGGCAAGACCCTTTCCTTCCATGCCGAGTGCTGCACCTCTGTCTCCAGGGCTCAAGTGTTCCCCGTTTTAGGAATCAGAACCAGCAGCGCTGGACAGGCCCCAGAGAGTTCATCCCAATCCTTGAGGTCTTATAGAGGGGTGTCCTGTGCCCCACCCTGTATTTTGACCTCTTGCTCCAGAAGGAAGGGATCCCATAAACATCCTGTATTTGGGCCATCTGGATGCTGAGGGCCACTTCCCAGCCTGGTTCCAGCTGGCCTGGCCTGCTTGCCACTGGGACCTGTTTGACCAAACCACTGACTGCCCACCATGCTCCTGGGAGGACTAAGTGAAGTCAGAGTACAAAGCACTCCTGCATGGTAGGTGCTCAGTACGTAGTCGCCCCTCCTGACCTCGAGTCCTGGGATGACGATGCTGCCCTGTGGGGTGTCTGTTCTTTGGGGCACAGGTACACATGTGGGTCTGTAGGTACACGTGTTTCCATGTTTAGGTATGAACCATCGTGGTCAGAGGTCACGTGTCCATGTTCCTGGGAACACATGGGTGTGTGTGTGTGTGTGTGTGTGTGTGTGTGTGATTGTGCAATAAGGGCAATTACCTGAGTGTGGGGGGTGTGAGGCTGTGCTTGTGTGGGTGTGTGTATAGTGGGGGAAAGGAATGCAAGCAGACATAGGTAAGTACTCAGGTACGTGAGGATGTGTGGGTATGGAGTTGCTAGGGACTGTCTGTGTGTCTGTCTGCAGGAAGAATGTGAGCCCATGAGTGCTAGAGGGTATACGCCGGGAAGTGTGAGGATGTGGGTCCGTGAGTGTGAGCAGTGGGCAGGAGGTGGGCGGGTAGCCTTGCCCATCCAGCCCTGACTGGCTGGGTTGGTTTCTTTCCTACCCTTGCTCAGGCCGGCAGCCGGATGCCCGGGCCCACTGGGCGGGCCGGAGGCCGCCTGCGGGATGAGCAGACTGCTGGGGGGGACGCTGGAGCGCGTCTGCAAGGCTGTGCTCCTTCTGTGCGTGCTGCACTTTCTCGTGGCTGTCATCCTCTACTTTGACGTCTATGCCCAGCACCTGGCCTTCTTCAGCCGCTTCAGTGCCCGAGGCCCTGCCCGTGTCCTTCACCCAGCTGCCAGCAGCAGCACCAACTGCTCCCGGCCAAACGCCACTGCCCCCAGCTCCGGACTCCCAGAGGCCCCCAGTGTCCGGCCTGGCTCCACGGCTGCCATCTTGCCGCCCTGTCCTGACTCGCCACCTGGTCTCGGTGAGCCTGCAGGGCAGGGCTGCCTATAGGGGTGGGCAGAGGACCTAACCATTTTGAATGGGGGAATGGAGTCTTGACCAGTTGGGTGCCAAGGGTCCAGGTCTGTTATAAGAGGGCTGTTCCTCGGGTTCCCTTGCCCACCCCCAGGCTGAGGGAGAGGGCTGGTGTCCCTGGATTCTGATGAAGGCCTGATTCCTGCCACCGTCCTGCCTGCAGTGGGCCGACTGCTGATTGAGTTCACCTCACCCATGCCACTGGAGCGGGTGCAGAGGGAGAACCCAGGTGTGCTCCTGGGTGGCCGCTATACACCACCCGACTGCGCCCCAGCCCAGACAGTGGCGGTCATCATCCCATTTCGACACCGGGAACACCACCTGCGCTACTGGCTCCACTATCTGCACCCCATTCTGAGGCGACAGCGGCTGCGCTATGGCATCTACGTCATCAACCAGGTGTGCTGTCTATGACCCCAGGCTGGGTACTAGCCACCAGGGAACCACTGGCACCTGTGGGTTTGGGGGCATTCAGGGTCCTTGTCTGTCTGCCCATGGTTGTGTAGATATGTGAATTACCTGTGGGGGTACCTGTATGTCAATGTGCGCATAGGAAGGTTTGCGAATGCGTGATGGGAAGTACACGCATGTGAATGTTGGCATGCACACTGGCGGGTGTGTGCATGGCCTTAATGCGGATGAGCCCCATTGCCTGCCTTTGATGGGCCCCATCGCATGGTGGTGGAGGCCTAGAGTCTGCTGGCCCTGAGGAGATGTTGAGGGCCTGAGGAGAGGAAGAGTTAGCCTGTGAAAGTGCTGGCCCTAGGAACTTGGCTCACTGTCTGAGCCCTGCCACGGGCCTGGCTAGGGCTGGCTGCTGGGGCCCAGAGAGGATCTGACTTAGGCCCTCCTCCCCACAGAGAACTCCCAGACTTGGATTTGGATCCCTGGAGGCTCCAGGATGATGGTGTGTGTCTGGAGTTGGAGTAGGGGGCTGTGGAAGAACCGAGGGGCCAGGTCCAGCCCTGGGCTTGGGAAGTGACGGTTGAGATGGGCCTTGAGGGATGAACAGGCATCAGCTGGCAGGGGACTGGAGGAGGCGGGAGTTCTAGGCAGAGGGACCTGGCAGCCCCAGCGAGAGAACTGGTCCCGTGTGTCCAGGAATTGCTGGCTGAGCTGTGGGATCCAAAATGAAGAGTGGGTAACAAAGATGAGGCTGGAGGAACTGATGGAGGCCAAATCCATAAGGGTCTTAGGAGACATGTTAAGAACTTGAAATCCAGCCTGAAAAGGTGGTGGGCACCATTGTAAAGTTTTAAGGGGGAGTGAAGTGTACGTTTGCTTATAAAAAGATCACTGATTGCACATGGAGAATGGGCTGGAAGGGCAGACTAGCGGCAGGGTGACCAGTAGGAAGAGGCTATGATGTTGAGGAAAGAAATGGTGGACATGTGTGTGAGTCAGGCAGTAGTTGTGGGGTTGAAGGGAAAGTTGTGATGCAGGTGGAGAGTAAGGAAAGGGAGATGCCAGGACAGCCCGGGTGCTTCTGTCTTGGCTGTTTGCTGTGTGGATAGCTGCGCCTGTGAGCAGGATGGAAACAGGAGCTGGACCAGGTCTGGGGGAGAGCGTGACTCTGAATTCTTTTCTGCATGTGATGTGTTTGAGTGCCTGGGGGAAGTGTGAGAGGAATGATTAGCAGGCAGTTGGACAAATGAGTCGACCTAGGAGTGAGGTCTGAGGTGGAGGGAGGGATTGGAGAGCCACCAGTAGGTAGATGGTCCCTAAAACCAACAATGTCCAACCTGCCCAGGGAGCATGGGGCCTGAGAGGAGACAGCCACCATGTAAGAGATGGGTGGAAAAGAGAGAGATTGCCACAGAGCTGCCAGGACTGGCAAGAAAGGTTTGAGGGGACCCAGGAGAGTGCAGTGTTCTGGAAGCCCAGGAATAAGTGTCAAGAAGGAAGCGCGGCAAGTGCGTGAGCACTGCCGGGGGAGTGAGGAAGTATGTGGACCAAGAAGCGTCCAGTGGATTTAGCAACAAGGTGGGCCCAGCGAGAGCCATTTCAGGGGCATGGTGGGGGCGGAAGCAGATTGCAGTGGGTTGAAGAAGGAATCAGATTTGACAAAATGAAAATAGGCAATTGGAGACAACTCCTTAAAAAAAAAACAAACCCTGCCAACAAGGGACAGCAAAAGGTAGGGTGGTGGCTAGAGGGAGGTGTTTTCTTGCAGATGGGAGAGAATTGAGCATGCTTATGAGCCATGTGGGAGAAACCTGGGGTTCCTGGCTGGTGAGAGGTTGGAAAGCAGTTCTAATGAGCCAGGAGATAATGGACAGTTGTTCCAAGGGCTGGTGGGAGAGAAGGTGCAGGGGAAGAAGGGAAGAGAACAAGTGGGGCTGGGCGGTTCCGAGTTCCGGGGTAGCAGCTCCCACCTCATCAGGCACAAGCTGGCTGGTGGAGAGGAAGGGCCACTATTCCTTCTCCCCTTCCATAAGGAGAGAAGACCCCCAGTGCAGGAGCCTCTCTGACTCCAGCCTGGTGTTCGTAGGTTGGGACCCCAGGCTCACTGAATCATGAGTGCCTATAGCCTGTGCATGTCATTTTCTTGGGAGACAAGTGAACCTAGCCGGGTCCTGTCCTAGTCTTAGAGGGTCCCCAGGGAATTGGATGTAGATCCAAATGAGCCAGAGGGGACAGGTGGCTGAGGCTCATAGCTCAGTCCCCAGGGTTTCTGGTCATTTGGGGCATTCATTGTTTGTCTCACTTCGTGACTGCTCAGTAGGGATGCAGTGCACTCAGGGCTGCTCATCTCCAGGATCCCCAGTGGCACAAAGAAGATGCCTGGCACAAAGAACAGGGCCACAGGGCATGTTTGAGTGAAGGGAAGATTGAAATAAGAGCCCTAAATCACAGTTTAAGTGGACACTGGCATGCGTGAAGCACACGGGAGGGAATGAGTAATGATACTGCGGCAGGAGGTTCAGGGAGGCCTTCCAGACATGAGTTTGACAAGTAGAGGAGGGCATTCCAGGCAGGAGGAGCTGCTCACACCAAGGCCAAGGCAAGAAAGAGTCTTGCATGTTCTGGGACCACTGAGGAGTGTAGTGTAGCTCTGCCTTGGCGTCTGAGGGCAGTGGCCAGAAAAGAGACTAGAGCCAAATCATGAAAGGCCTTGGAAGGCCAGGTCCAGGGTAGGGAGTGGACTTGATCCTAAGAATCTGAAGGAGCCATGTAGGGGTTGGGTGTTGGGTAGTAGGCCGTGAGGGCCATTCTGGACAGTGGTAAAGTGACAGGTGCTGGCCAGTCACAGGCCCAGAGCTGACCTGTCCCCTCCACCAACCCCAGCATGGTGAGGACACCTTCAACCGAGCCAAGCTGCTCAATGTGGGCTTCCTAGAGGCACTGAAGGAGGACGCCACCTATGACTGCTTCATCTTCAGCGACGTGGACCTGGTCCCCATGGACGACCGCAACCTGTACCGCTGTGGTGACCAGCCCCGCCACTTCGCCATTGCCATGGACAAGTTCGGCTTCCGGTGAGTTTCCTTCTCAGCTGGACCCAGTGCCACGTCCCACTCCCAGGCCCTCACTCCCAGCCCCAGTGCCCCCCTTGCTCCTGGCCCCGGGCACACTGTCCCCCACCCCATCTCCAGCCTCCATCGGGAACCCTCAGGCCCTTCACTGACGCCTGCCCTCCCACACAATAGGCTGCCCTACGCTGGCTACTTTGGAGGCGTTTCGGGCCTGAGCAAAGCCCAGTTTCTGAGAATCAATGGCTTCCCCAACGAGTACTGGGGCTGGGGTGGCGAGGATGACGACATCTTCAACAGGTGAGTAGGGACGGGTGGAGAGTAGATTGGGAGTGTGAGAGGGTGCAGCGCAGACTGGGGGGGCTCCTTGCCCTTCCTGGTGCCTGCTGTAGTCCATCTGTACCCATCCCCAGGATCTCCCTGACTGGGATGAAGATCTCGCGCCCAGACATCCGCATAGGCCGCTACCGCATGATCAAGCACGACCGGGACAAGCATAACGAGCCCAACCCTCAGAGGTGACCCCCAGCACCCATGACCCCAAGGGCCCCTAACCCCTTTCTTCCTGGGGGTGACCCCCAGTGCCGTGGATCTCCAGAGGTGATCCCAAGGACCCCGACCCTTGACTCTTAAAGATGAATCTCAGCACCTCTGACCCCTGTTCCCCACCCCCCAGCTCAGCCTCACCCTAGACAGCTCTCACCCCTGGCCTGATTCCTAGTGGTGACTAAAATGCAAAGGCAGGGCTCAAATCGCCATTGAGCAGATAGCATTCCCCTCAATGTCCCCACAGATTTCAGTTGTGCCAGAGCAACTAGGATGAGAGACAGCCGGCACTGGGCTCAGCTCCTGGACCTAGGCTCAACAAAGGTGGCCTGAGCACTGGGTGTGGGGTGGGGATTGGAAAGACATTACTGACCCCTCTGAGATTGGAGCAGGGGGCTCTGTCTCTGAGGATGTAGCAGCACTTGGTGTCTGGTGCTGGCTGGGAGAAGTGCATGAGAACATATGAAATGTAGACAAGGGCTTCCTGACACCATTCAGGGACCGTCTGGTGCCAAATCTTGTGGGGGAGGAAGGCCCAGGCTGGATGTCCCACATGAAGTTCATTCCAGGGAGGGAGACAGGCAGTTACGGCACAAGGTGATCAGGGCAAGGTACTGTCCTGACAGAGCGATAGTGGGAGGCTTCCTGGAGGATGTGATACTAAGCTGGAGTGTGACAAGAGCTATTCATTCAGCAAGTATTTGTCACACACCTACCTTGGGCACAGTGCTGTATTCACCAGGCTAATGGAAGAGGCCAGTTTGGAAAAACGGAAATAGTGTGTGTAGGAGTCTGGAATGTGAATGTGCATGGTATATGCTGAGAGTCTGAAACTCATGGGTATTAAAAGTTCTGAGGGCTGAGACTGACAGTGAGAGGGTCCTTGCTGGGTGTTCAGGGTCTCAAATCCCAGGTTGGCAGTTTCACTTTTGTCCCAGGGGCGTTGGGGGCCATGGAAGAGCTATAAGCAGGGAAGGAGCAAGATCAGATTTGGGTTTGGAAGTACCACCCTTGGAGCTTGAAGAGGGCGAAGGGCTGGCAGAGCTGCTGGGTGGAGCTGGGGGGAAGCTGGCCAGGCCCGAGGGAATCGGTGGGGCCCCAGGGGCGTGCTGGGCATGAGGCTGCTGTGTAGCTAGCCGGAGCAGTAGGATTGTTCTGCTCTGAACCCAGGGTGTAAGAGTGGGGAAGTGCTGCACTGATGCAGGGTTGATGTTTGGCAGAAGCATGAAGCACCAGGCGCCCAGGGAGCTGATGAAAAAGCAGTTCAGTTAAAAATCATGGTGAGCAGGGGAGGGACAAAAGACTGGGAGAAGAGGGCTTCGGGGCATCTGAGAGAGAGTGCTCCAAGTCCCAGTGGCTGCAGAGGGGTCTGAGCTGAGCTCAGGAGGACTGGGAGGACCAGGACAGCTGGGATGAGCGTGGGCGTGGAGATCTACTAGAAGCACATGCCAGGAGCCTCGGGCCTGTTTCAGGAGCAGCCAACATCAGTTAGTGATGTCTGCCTTGGGTGGGGGAATGGCAAGAGAGCAAGATGTTCTGGCTAAAGGCACCCTGTGGATGGTGGCTCCATCTACCTAGCAGCTGCATTTGCCTCAAATCTAGGAGTTCTGGATTCTTCTTCCCCTCCGCCTACATGTCTGAACCATCAGCAGGTCATATCTGTGCCAACCTCCGAACATATCTGAGCCCATCCGTTTTTTTCTTTACTACCTTCTATTTTGCCTGGACCACTGCAGTGACTTCTCACTAGTTTCCCTGCTTCCCCATTGTCCTTCTGTAGTTCATGTCCCCTGTCCCTCCCTCCCCACAGACTGGGCTAAAACCCCCTCCGTGTCTTCTTGCTCACAGAATAAAAAACTGCTTCCTCTGACTTACAGAGCCCTGCTCGTACATTCTGTAACCTCCAAGCTAATCTTACTCTGTGTCTTCCCTTGGCCCATTAGGGTCTAGCCACTCTGCTGTGCAAATTCTCATTCCCAGTTTAGGGTCAGCAGGTGGTGTTACCTCTGCCTAGAATGCTCTCCCCCCTGCTGTCAGCTTGATGTCACATACTCACCCCTTCCAAGTCAGTCTTCTTGGTCTCCCTCTCCTATGTCCCTTAGCACTGTGATGTGTCCCTTGTTTGTTACCTGTTGCCCCTAGTGGCATAGACTTGCCATGAGAGGAAGGACCTTGTTGTCCTGTTTATGGCTGTGTCCCTGGTGTTTAGCATAGATCCTGGCACTTGGGGACCACTCAGCAAATAGATGGCGAAGGAGTGACTAAAGGATGAGGAACAGAGAAGATGGCACAGAGGTGATGGATTTGGGGAGTAAAGATGACACATCTGGTATAGGACATGTTGCATTTGAGGTGTCCACGGGAGGCCCCATGTCTGGGTCTAAAGCTTAGAAGGAAGGTCTGAGATGGAAGATTTGTGAGGATGTCACAATTCTGGACTCAAGGGGGTGAGATCTCTGTTTTGAGGTCCAATGCAAGCGCAAAAGGGCTCCAGATAGGTGGAGGGGTGGCAAGGAGAACTGAGTCACCCCTGGAAGAAGCCAGGGTGGCTTGACCCTTGGCCCCAGAGATACTGGGTTTGGTCGTTAGCCCTGATCTGGACTCATTTCCATCCTATCTAGGTTTACCAAGATTCAAAACACGAAGCTGACCATGAAGCGGGACGGCATTGGGTCAGTGCGGTATCAGGTCCTGGAGGTGTCTCGGCAACCACTCTTCACCAACATCACAGTGGACATTGGACGGCCCCCATCCTGGCCCCCTCGGGGCTGACAATAAAGGACAAAAGGCTCCTGTGCCAACAGTTGCTCGCCAGAGGACTGACCTACAGCCTGGCTGGCGGCTGCTCTGTGGGGGATCCCCCAGGACTGAGACTGTGGGCTCTGTCTTCTGAGGGTCTTCAATAGGTCCCCCCAGCTGCACCTGGAAGTTTCACAACCTACTTTGGGGGAGCTTCCATCCTGAACAGGCCCCTCAAGTGTGGCCCTCTGGGGTCATCCCTCCTTGCCCCTCCCTCCCCAGCCCAGCCCCCCTCACTGTCAGGATTGGGTCAGCCCCTGCACTGCCTCACCGAGTGGCCTGGGCTAGGTCACTCCACCTCTCTGTGCCTCAGTTTCCCCTCCCTTGAGTCCCCTAGGGCCTGGAAGAGTGGGAGGTATGACTAGGGGGCAGTGCCACTTCCATGGGGACTTCTCAGACCTGGGGATCCCCCTTGCTCCCAGGGGAGGGGAAACCTTTTTCATTCAACATTGTAGAGGGCAAACTCTGGTGGCCCCCTGCTGAGAAGCAGCCCCAGGAGGGGACCAGAGGGGGCGCTGTGTTACTGCCTGGGATCTTGGGGTCGGGCTTTGCATGGGTGGCAGGTGGAGCTTGGACCAGTCACTCTGGTTCCCACCTCCCTGCCTCGGAGAGAAGGCAGTAGCCCCAGGGCCGGATCATGTTTGTATATTGCACAGAAACTTGTGTGGGTGCTTTAGTAAAAAACGTGAATGGAGCAGCCCCTTCGTCTGTCTGGGGACGGGACTCTGGGTCCCTGGATCCAGACCCTGGGGTGTTGCGGGAGGGTGCCGGCCCCTCCCGTGGGGCTGTCCCGGCTCGCAGCCCTAAGGCTTCCTCGCACCGCCTCCGAGCCGGAGGAGGCCACGGCGTCATCAGCCCGGCGCGCGCAAATTTCTCGGTTCTCCCACCTGTCCCGAAGCCGG